TGGTGGTGGTTGTCATGCTCTCTGTCGATACCGTCGCTTCTATGGCTTCCTTCCCTCCTCGTCTCCCAATTGAGGGAAAAGCTCACGGTCCACCAATCAGACGAACAAAGGACACGCACTCTCTGCCCCGCCAGGCAGCTATCAGCCGCGTCTGTTCGTTAGTAACTGCAAAATCTTATCTCTGAACGACCGGGTCTGGAAGAATTCTGGGAAAAACAACACGAAAGGAGGGTGAACTCCGGGAGAGTATTGCATTGGTAGACTTTGTAGTGGGGGTCAAAACATGTATGGTTCATGTCTTGCAGTGTCCCCTTTTCACACCACAGGAGGGTAAACGATTCAGCGTATTTTGTCATCAGGGGAGTTTCAGCGGTCATGGGAGGGCGCTTGCATGCTTCTCCTTTTTAAGCAGCTGCGCAGCACTCATAAGGATGCATGCACCAGTCACTGCGCTCACTATCCCTTTTGGTAGTCCTTACCTCGTCTTCCTATTGGAGGAGGCTTGCTGTGGCTAAAGTGAAGTGGAATAAGCAGATCAGTAGGATAGGGGAACAAGAAACCCCCATCGTATTACAAGTGGCCATACGCCTAATTCCAAGGAGATTAGGGTAAGGGCTTAGGCTGAGGTCTGGGCTAAGTTTGAGTCTACGGTCTAGGTTAGGGTTAGGAAATGGGAGTAAGTACCCTTTCTGGAATTTAGCGTAAGGGGGTTTCCTATTCCCCTGTCTTGCCGATGTATCGAAAGTCTGTTCACCGCAAGCTAACCCACGTGCAGGTCACTACAGTATTCATCTTGTGAGAGGAATGGTTAATTTCGCCTCCCGTAACGAACAAATTACCGTCTGTGTGTGTAAGATCTGCCACCATCAGCTGTGTCGTAATGGGCCGTTTGTCGGTAACATTAATACCATACTGTCGGTCTCTTTTGACAGCGTCTCATGCGTTCAGTGTCTGGCTCGGGGTGCAATGGATGCGAGACGGAACAGTTAACCTGTGTGTCCAGTGACCATTTCTCTCACTACCTGCAGCGTCGTTTTCAGACAGGCTGACTTTTCTTTACCAGTCACGGCGACTGACTTGGTAATTGCTTCGTACGCAACCAGACAGGGTTGGCCTCACTCAGACTCGCCATATACTACTTGCGTGGACTCCAAGTTTGTCCTGGTGCACCACGCGGTCTTGTAAAGAGCAATTTTGCCAGTAGACATCGTTCTCCTCTAGGTGAAAGACTCCAACATGTAGGTGGGACTCAGCAGCCATGCGGCGGCTTGGACAGCAGGTGCCTGTAAGCGTTTCCGGCGCACGTTTTTCACACCAGGGCTAGTCGCCTGCACTCACACACACATATATATATACACACGCACACTGCTAGGTAATAGGATGGCTGACCTCCTACACCTGCAGACTGTTGTTGCTGCTGCCGCTGCTGCTGCTGCTGCTGCTGCTGCTGCTGCTGCTGCTGCTGCTGCTGCTGCTGCTGCTGCTGCTGCTGCTGCTGCTGCTGCTACTGATGCTGCTGTTGCTGCTGCTGCTGCTGCTGCTGCTGCTGCTGCTGCTGCTGCTGCTGCTGCTGCTGCTGCTGCTGCTGCTGCTGCTGCTGCTGCTGCTGCTGCTGCTGATGCTGATGGTGATGATGATGTTGACGTCTGTCGACGGGACTTGTCAATCTTCCATCTTCAACATGCTGACAGCGCGCACAGATGCGTGAGTGCTGATACACGACTGTCCGAGTGTGCTAGTATATTTTCACACAGGTGCATCTAAGTGTGGTTCAGAGGAAATGTCAGGGTGCGCGCCACGCCATCGCGCCCAACGCCCCCTCCCCCCCGGCTCGGCACATAGAAATAAACACGAAAATGATCTTAAGCCGGTTCGGACAGGAGCGAGGGAGAATGGTCTGTGACTGGCCCGCCCACGGACATACATGAGGAATAAAAAGAGATGTGAAATTTGCCAAAAGCTGACATGCATACGGACACGGGGTCGCGCAAACATGCCTGACTGTTGTTGTCAGGTGGCGCTGATGACGGACAGAAAGGAAGACTGGAAGGGGAGCGGGGGAAGTGGGGGGGGAGGGCAGGGAGGTGTTAACAGTTTCACTGGCACAAGTCGACAGCCCTCTACGCCAGCAGTATCAGCAGCACTGCCACCGATGCGAGTTGCAAAGGCACGCAACAAGAGACAGGTGTGTGTGTGTGTGTAGATGCGCACGTACACGAAAAAATCAGGCTAACACCACCTGGGGAGAGAAAAGGCTTTGCGTTCACGCTAGATGGAAGCACACGGGGAGAAGGTGTCCCATAAGTGTGTAAAAATCAACAGTGGCTGCTTGGCTTGTCCTTCGCTGGGGCACAGGCAGGCTGTTTGTTTTGTATATGACGTCCAGACCTCAGTTTGGTTAAGAATTAATGACGATGTCTGATATACCAGAAACGTGTTTTTCAGTATATGTATATATATGCAAGGAGAAAATCCTTCTATCATATCACCTCGGAATGCAACTATTTCAGTAATTCATATATATATATACATATATATATATGACAGTAGGCGCTCACCGATCAGGATGCGGAACATGCTCGTTCCGTTGTGCCTTGGGGTTCATACTGGAACCCTCGCAGGCAATCGCACAGCGACTAGTAGTAGACATAGATGAGATGGATCCGACAAAGACAAGGGAGACCGGAATGGCCATTTCTGGCTTATTAGCCGTCATCAGCCAATCATACCCAACCCCAAGTGTGGATCACTTGAGATTCGAACCCGGGATCTTTGGTCATGGAGTTTGACGCCAATAGATTGGTGTGCGCCCTTTCCTGATTGAATATATATATATGTATATTCAATGACAGGTGACGAGGCAATGATGGACTTCGGTTCGATGAAGCTCTTATGACCCATCTGGTAAACCCCAGTGGTGGACAAACTGCGCCAGGTGCGTCTGTGCCCATGTTTGTGTTTCTGATTCCAGTTGCTGGTCAGGGTTATGATTGGCTGAATGAAGGTCATGAGTGCTTTATCGAACCGAAGTCCATCATTGCCTCCTCACTTGTCATTGAATATACAAATATACATACACACGACGAAGGTATTATACCTAACTCACGGCATAGGTACTAGCTAAAAGCCTAGACACGTATTCCGCTGACAGTCAGCCGCTGCGTGATACAGCTGCGAGGGGTTCGGCTCCTCAGCGGGCCCCCTAGCGTAGGAGTTGAGAGCAGACGAGCGCCGGCCTTTGGACACGACAAACGCGGAGCCTGAATGAAGTTCTTCTGTGCGCACAAGACCGGCTTTCGTAACCTGATGGCGGCCACTTCTGCTGCTGCTAACAGGTGCTGGCCCAGCAGCTTAGGGTAGCTCGAGGGGACCTTATCAATCACATGATAAACCGAAATCAACAGCATGTGCGAGAGAATGGCGCTCTTAAGGCTCCTAGTTTCGCATTTTTCCAGCCATGCCGGGAGTTGTTGTCGTATTTTTTTAGATAGACGCCAACCGTGCCACCAATATAACCTGCTGTATGGGAGCAAGTGAGGTAGTAAACGTGCATTGAGGTGGTCGGAAATGGTAATCTATCCCTACCTTCTCCGCTTAAAATGGGGTAAGTTTAAAATAATATTCGAACTTTTGATGTTGGAAGGGTTTGTAAGACAGCTGGCTCAAGTCGACTTCTCAGGAGTTCGTTTAACGCGTCCCACTGAAAGGGAAATTTGAGGAACAGAGTTTACTTTTCTGCTCTCAGTGTAGTGGGTTGTGCTGGTCTCTTGATAATATTCTTTGCAATATACCTGTCAGCTACCTGTTTTCAGGAAGCAAGTCCTTGATCTTTCCAACAGCCTCATCGATTCTGTCTGCCGAATAGGTTTTTCTAGCCCTTTGTGCTTGCCGTGGCCAGTGGTCGACTGACCGCATGCAACTATCCGCGCCCTTCAGCTCTAGCCCCTTCCGCTCATATTCCCACATTCTGCCTGTATTTCAAAACGGACTTTAATCGACGTCTCTGATCACTGACATGTTTCACTCCACCCCATTCCCATATACATGTAATGGCCTGACGAGAATTTATCGGGAGTAAACATATGCTCGTCAAACTATTCTTCAGATTTCGGCCTCGTTGAAATTGGATGTTTGGCAGGGTCCTGTTGAGTGGGCTGCGACCAGGGAGCTGACGTCATTTTTTCGCACCGCTGCGTCGTGTTCGGTCGTTCGCGTCCAGAACAATTTTCCAGTTCATCCGACGAAGGGCCGAGCAAAATCGAGTGTTTCATAGCTGAGCTCCGGGCACACAATCCATTTACGGCGATCAACAGTGTTCATGCGCGGCCTGTCATAACTCGTCCAGTGGGTGGGGTGTCCTGCTGCGTGTTTCAACGTTAACTGGAGAAAGAAACGCGCTGACGCAAGAAATGAGGTCTCGGGCAGTCATTTTAAAATTGCCATCGGCGATATCACAACCTAACCTGGCCCGCTACAAGCAATTCACTCTTTAAACCTGGAAATCGACCGTGACATCGACGGTGGTGGTGATGGTAGCCATATTGCATTGGTATTAATGGCACGAACGGCAGTGCTAGCAAAAATAGTAGTTAAGTAGTGATAATAGTAGTAGTAGTAGTAGCGACAGTAGTGGTTGCAGTAGTACTAGTGGTATCGGCAGAAGTACTAATAACAATAATAGTAATATTGGGGGTATTATTGATAATAGTGCAAGTAGTAGTACTCTTTTTAGTAGTAGTAGTAGTAGTAGTAGTAGTAGTAGTAGTAGTAGTAGTAATGGCGGTAGTAGTATTAGCAGTAGTGTTATTAGTAGTATTATTGGCGGTAGTATTAGTAGTGTTGGTATTGGTATTAATGGAAGTAGTAGTGTGCCCCCCCAAACGGGCCACGTGGTGGATTCGCTGGTCCAACACAAAGGCCATATTGGATCCTGACAGGCGTTATCGGAGTTGCACACCACAAAAAATGCCAACATTTTCGGGGTGCGTTGGCAGACACGGTTGCCGGCGCACGTCGCGCACACTGGGGTCCCACCGCCACCCCCTTGTTGTGGCTAATCAAAAAAACCTGGTTATTTGCTGTGTGGGCTAGGGGGTGTGGAGGGGAACCCCAGGGTGCGGGTTCGACCGTGCCGGCTATCTGCGCCCTCCCCCGCCTACGGTCTTCTTGACTCTGTCTTGACACCGGGTTGAGGGGGAGGAGGAGGAGAGGGTGCGGTAGACGCTGTGCAAGTCTACTATCACCGCAAACTAATTTTCTGCTCTCACCCTGCTGGGGAGCACAGGGTGGGCATCGTCGAAATCGACGGTCGATAGTAGCGGTAGTGACAGTAGTAGTAGTAGTAGTAGTAGTAGTAGTAGTAGTAGTAGTAGTGGTAGTAGTAGTAGTAGTAGTAGTAGTAGTAGTAGTAGTAGTAGTAGTGGTAGTAGTAGTAGTAGTAGTAGTAGTAGTAGTAGTAGTCGTAGTAGTAGTAGTGACAGTAGTATTGGTAGCATAAGTAGTAGTAACGGTTATCGCAAAAATGTGGAAACACAGATTTGGTATGAATATTTACTTTTTGGTTAACGAAAAGCTGTTTCGCTTACCATCTCTGGACTCTGCAGTCTCCGGTACATCAATGAGATTGGCGATGCCAAATCGAGGTCGTTTTTTGGCCGGAGACCCGGTCGGCGAAGTGCTAGTCTTCACGCCCTCCGTCTTTTCTGTTGGCCGACTTCTACAGGATTCCCGGACCCCCCTTGCATTGAACTCCTCCTTGTCGGTTAAACCTCCTTGCAGTGAAAATGCAGGAGGCGCAGCGTACGTAGAGTTTTCCAAGTAAGCCTGCCGAGCAAAGGCCTCCCCATTGTGGGCGTCTGCGCCAGGCTGCTCCGGCGAGGTGACGGGAGTCACCTTGAAGTCAGTACTAGTGCCGCTGATGGTGTTGGCGAGGGGTGGTACTGCGTTCAGGAGGTAGGGCATATAACTACGCAGCAGTAGAAAGGCATTTTCCCAGTAGGTCAAACTGTCTGCTTCGATGGGGGCCACTTGGGGGGATACTGGGGTGAGACTAGCAGCCCTCTGCTGGAGGGCGAATGCAGTACTCGGGGGGCCGGCCGAGGAGACTCTGCATCCCGGAAACCCAGTCTGCGGAGAGGGGATGTGTCGAAACCAGTCATAGAATTCCTCGCCCATGAAGCGTGGCTGAGTGAGTCCACTGTCAGTACCGCCCTGGCATGGAGAAAGCCCAGGGGGGTAGCTACCGGTACCGAGAAATGGATGCCTGGCAGGGGATGAAGCGAAGGGAGAAAGGGGCTCGGCGATGGGAGGCCTTGCAGAGGAATGAACACTTTCCCGTTCACGCATGTACATGGCCACCTGTCTGCGCAGAGTGGAATTCCGGGGACCGCGCTCGTGTTGCACAGCTGGAGAACGAATAAAAGCAGACAGGAGGGTGAGTGATCCCTCCAGAGTTTGAGGTAGCACTGTTTCCTAGCTGAACATTTATCACACGAATTGACCCTATCCAATGGGCATTCTATTTATGATTTGTATCGTTGGATGTTTTGTATCGCTGCTGAGAAACCGATTGGGAATTGTTAATTTATTTCCCCCAACAGTCACGACTCACTTTTTGCATCGGTGGTGGTCAGTGCGTGACTGACTTCTCAAAAGCTAAACAGTTCCTCTGAGTTTCTGCCTTTTTAGCTAACCACAAATACCGAAGTTCATTCACGGATTCAGAATCCTTCATCGAAGGAAAAACAATGTCAAGTCGAGCAAGGTTGTTCTTGTGCGCGAAATAGGTCTGTTTTGACATAAAGAGCACTTTTCAGCCAGTTCATATGACCTTGTGTGGACCAGGTTCTTGGATGCTTAACCGCAGCACCGAGGTTCCACAATGTTTTGCGCATTTTCTCGACACGACAATTTGACCGTCGGTTTCGACTATGTCCACCGTGTGCTCTGCAGCAGGGTGAGAGTAGGAACGGTGAATTGCACGCGAATTAGTTTACAGCGGTAGTAGACTTGCGCAGCATCTACCACACCTTCTCCTCTCCACCTGGATCCGGTGTCAAGACCAAGTCAAGAAGAGTGAAGAGGGCGCAGGTTGCCAGCACGACCGGATCCGCACCTAAGCGCACTACTTCACCCCCTGGTCCACAACAAACGCTTGATCAGCATTTTAACCAATAATAACAATGGGCGCGTGGCAGGGGTCCCAGCTGGTGCGGAGCGAGCCAGTAACTGGATCTGACACCAACCCCGAATGTTGGCATCTGCTATAGGTATGCATTCCCGATAACGCCTGCCAGATTCCGATGCAGTCCCCACGTTGATCCAGCACTTTTACTCATAATTCCGATGTCCGCAGGGGCATGGTGCAGCCGCATTACAAATGAGGGGAAGATAAGTTACAGAAGCAGCTTAGAGTGGACAAATATTTCCCCCTTCTACGACCCCTACATCTATGATGCCAGCAGTTTCTCCAGGGCATTTAAAACACCAGTAGTCAGCTCAGGGTTAACTAGGTCATAGCAGAATCGGGATGGCTACCGCCCCTTGACATCGGGTAGTCGCCGCTGCACGACAGACCCCTTACAGCCCTTGTCCCTGGCGCCATCGGTAAAAAAAAGTTGGCCGGTCGTAAACTACGCAAACGACTGCAATAAATGCCCCTCCAACTGTCGTGGCCTGGGCGTGATAAGTCGTCGTCACCGACAGAAGACTCGGAAGTACTGGATAGCGAGATAGTAAGGGAGATCTGCTGTCCTATCACACGGTCCCTCCCCCTCCTCCCCCCCCCCACCCCTCTCACATTCTGCCTCCAGCATCACTTATGTTTATGAACCGCCGACCTTAGTTGGGTCATGCAGTTTCGGTGAAACCTCATAGGTCTGCTTGACTTTATGGATGTTTTTCTTCCGCCAAACAAACTACGACCTGTTTACTGTTTTCGGGCATATGGAGGCAAGACAGAAAACCGGCTCGGAGACCAAGTCCGCATAACGACCAGGGGAGACTCCCCTTATGCACCGCCTCCGCTTGTTAGGAAACTTACTAGGGCAATGGGGGAGAGGGGGAGGGAGTGGGGGGGGGAGTTACGAGGTCCGATATGGGTCGAGGCATTTTCAAACCCAAGATTCTGCTGTTGCTGCTCTAAAATTTAGTAATTACCTCGAAATGAAACTGCCGTTCCGGACGCAAGCAGAATCACTCATAGCGA